TGTAAACATAAATCTGTACACGTCAAGTCATTGTAAACAGTCATGCAATACATTTAAGATCTTGTTTTCGTGCTTGTGTAAAATCTTAGTCATGTGAAACAGCTTCAATGTTAATGACAATCAAAAGTAACAATAAAAGCAAGAAAAACAAAAAAATGAAGAGAAATATCCCTAAACCTCAACATGTGTATGTTAAGAATGCTTGTTAAACATACTATTGTGATGTAAAGCTCAAATATGTTGGTGTTCCATTATACAAGTGTTATACGCCTCAGTATGTCTTCTAAGTCTGTTTTAGTTTTTTGCTATTTTTTTGCAATTTTTTTTGTTTTTTTTTTTTGTTTTCTTTTTTTTATGAACGTTGTAACTGTCATAATAAGCCTTTAAACACATTTATGTTTTAAACTGTTTAACAAACTAAATACAAGACAAATAATAACAAGAAGAATTATCACAACAACAGCAACAATACAAGCACGTTACATATAATAATAATGACAAGAACAACGACAAAAACAACAAATATAACATTTCAGATGAGTAGCATGTGTTGAAATGCATGAGAATTCGTTGTTGAAAGAGCGACACTATAAACAAATAAGTGTAGAATTGCAAGCATATAACTAAGTCAGACACGTATGTTATATGTGTACACAATTCCACGTATGTAAGTTGCCTTTGTTAAAGTTGACAACAACATATTTTGTCCATATACAGATACGTACATGAAAACGACGTAGAATGTGTCGTCGCATAAAACAAAAAAAATAGATTTACATTTAATAGACCAAAAAAAAAAAAAAAAAAAATATCGGTCTTTATAAAATATTTCATCATTTCTATGCTTACTTTAATTCCCTCGATTCGTATTCATTCCGATTGACTTGTACGATTAAGTGACAAAATTTCCATAACTACGCACAATACTTTTTAGACTACTACTTAACAATTTGGCTTTATTATACAGTAATTACTAGAGACTGAAGTTTATTAAATTTATCATTCCGTTGGCAATGTTCAGAAATCATAATCAATCTAAAGGTGAACACGATATGATTTAATTCTATGTGTGACCTTAAGGAAATTATCCAAGCTTTCGTAACTTGGGTGGGGAAATTTCAAAGCATATAAAATTGCCTTAATATTGATTGAAAAATCGAGACAGTTGTGATTAAAAGAAATATAAACTGAAGTAAGTTCAACATAGTTCAACATAGTTCAACATGTTCTCTCGGTTGAATTTGATCGCTTTATGGAATTTGTCTGACAAAATTTTGAATGCACATAGCTTAGGCAATGATGTTTGTACGGTATGAGTTTCACTTGTTTACACAACTTTACTTCAATCTATTTCAAGGCATACCCGCTTGTGTGGCCGAGTAGGCAAGAGTCCTCGACTAGCCAGTCAATGGTCGTGGGTTCAAATCTCAAGTGCGGTAGAGTTTTTAATAAAGCGGAAAGCCTTAGATACTAGTGCTTTTAAGAGTTTAGTCTTAGAATTTATTCTCTTGCTAAATTTATAAAATTCTCTTCTAAACTGGAAAAAAATGACAAACTTGGCTTAAAGTGAAAACACCGTAAGGATTGTCAACATAATTAGTGCAAAAAATTTCAATCTTAAAGACAATGATCCCCGCCCGTCTGTCACTTGTAAAAACAATTCGGCAAGAAATTTTCAAAGTAGTCTATGAACATCTCCCGATTGTGGATTATTCTCCAAAACGCATCTTAATTACAACTTATTCAGATCATTGTTACGTTAAGAGAAGTGGACTTTGAAGGCGTATATAACTTTTTGTTTAATTTTCCAACTGCTTACGCGTTATATGAATAAGCGCCGGGTAACATTTATAAGAAGCTTAGTGGACAAAATATATTACGTATAGCTGTGTTTAAGTTAACATCCAATCGGATGCACTGGATAGGTCGCCATAGGTATATGATATAATGCGATATAAAGTCCTGTCTAAATTTCAATGCAACCTAAAACTTATTTAGATGTGAGTTATATACAAAAGTGCATATGGTATATATATGTATATAGATAGAAATATATGTAAATAGCTTGTGGAGATCTGTATGCTTAACATAGAGAATTTGATATCCCCCCCCCTCCCCACACACACACCACACACACACACACAATTTTCAACATGTTGTTACGCATTATTTTCCCAATTTTCGACACCATTGTGTTGTAGATAAGTAAGCAGCAGTTTTTTGCTTCATATGCATGGTATACTTATATGACGGTCGTGTACATGAATTTTACATTTGGTAAAGTGTTAAAAGTTTGTAACGTTTCTCGTTAATCATACGGATTGAAATCAACTGTCCAAATGACGGATAGCATAGGAAGTTTTATGTCCATATAGTTGTTATTTATCATAAAACCGCGATTGTTTATTCCTATTATTGTTGTTGTTGTTGTTGCTGCTATTGTCAGTTGTTTGTTTGTATTTTTTTTTTTTTTTTGTTTTCTCTGCATTTAAAGCTAGACATAGACAAAAGTTCATTGCTTTTATTATGATACTATAGTTTTTAGTCTGTCGCAACATCATTATGTCTTTCACGTAACGATTTTCAGTCTCATATAGATAGTGGATTTTTCACAATGTGGTCACAATGACGTATGTTTTAAATAAGTTGATGTTTGCTAAAGCTGCTTTTTACTTCAGTCGAATCAATTTACTAACGACTCTCTTTTATCGCCATATAAAAATCTCAACTTGGTGACATGTTGTGTGCATTTTTACCCTTTCTGAAGCAAAAAAAAAAAAAATTTCATTTATTTGCATAAATTGTTTTAATCGCTGGGAAACTTTAACAATTGTTTTAATGAGTTTTTTTTTTTTTTGTTTTGTTTTCTCATAATAACACATAAAGATTATTATGGTTTTAAACATTTCTTTGCATTCATATGGTAAAAGATTTTTATCTGTCAATCCGTTCATAGATGATATTTACCTGAATAAATTTTCTATTTTCTCTTCTGCACTCGTGCGTTGATCTAAGTTTTTTTTAGGTTAGAAAATTGAAAAAAATTGTTTGATAAATCGAACGCAGTTTTGCTTCTCTGTAAATGCAATAATTAGTGCACCTTAGAAACATTTCAAGGGGGAAAACTGCCCTACCCCAACAAGTGAAAACAGTATAATCGGCAACGGCCGACCATCAAATGCAATTATTTGTATAACAATTTTTCAAAATAAAGCTTTATATGAGCAAAACTGGAAAAAGTGGTCCGGTCCGATCATTCATCTTTGCCCTAAGGCATATAACAAACCACTTGTAGCTTGTGACCACAAGCTTAGATTAATTCACAACACTAAGTCTTTATCGATCGATATAATAAAAGCATGATCTCTTTCAAATCGTTGCAGATGCTGTACACATTCTTACAAACTTAGTGTATCATGCACCACGAGTGGTGTAAAATATGGGAAAATCTTTGTTTTCACAATTTTTTTTTGCGACAATGTTTGAGGATGTAACTAAGCACATATATGTAAATATTGGAAAAAAATTATTTTTGAAAAATATATTAAAAAATGGCAACAGTGGAATTATTCGAATGACACCGTTTTGAAAAATTGGTTCAAAAGCTTCAACTACTCATAAACTGATGTACGCCTCCATTCGCAGGAAATCAAAATTTTGCACTAATATTAAATATTAAATATTTGCCCCACTCACGATGTTTAAGTAAAAGAAAAGGATAAATTTGAAATGGTTCTTCCACTTATTATTGATATTAAAAAAAAAAAAAAAAATTCATGAAAACTATCCCGCCTGTACCTGGAAGTAGCAAGCATAAGCCTTGGTGACTGATAAACACTGTCGATGAGACCTGTATTGATTAAATCCCACCCACTGCAAGCAGCTGAGGTATTGGTATATTGGCGATGTATGTGTACAAATATATATACTTGTAATATGTCGTCTGCCTTCACTCTGTTTACAATATACACACGCACACGGCACGTGAGATTGACTGCTAGCTCTCTTGGCCTTCCATTCGCTTCATTGTACATCTCTCAGTGTATCGGCTCAACTGTTACTTCCACTCTCTTGCGCTTACCGGCCTTATTTTGAAGCCGTCCTTTAGTTGTCTTGCATCTTGCACGAAATGGTTGTTATCAACGTGAAACGTTTACAATTTCGAGAAAAACTCGAATAATTACAAAATATGGGGAAAAGATCAATAAACTTTTCTCGATATTGTTACAAATTATAAGGTTATAGTGTGTATAGCACGTTCTCAACCGAGACATTGACAAACCCACTATTAACGAAACACACTTCACATTTTATACTCTTTCTTTTTTTTTTTTCAAACTGGCGAAGCGTTTATGTGGTGGGCATGCGAGATTCGGCCCCCACCGTATATAACTTTCTTACTTGTTATTTATTCAGTTTGTCGATGATGTACATCCGCCACGAGACGAATCAAAATTATGTACTCATTTGTAGCTTTTAATTTGCATCGTTTTCGTAAATCCCTGTTATGTGCAATCGATACTTGACATAAGGGAAACATATGTAAAAATAATTTATCTCATATCGACGACCGTAGCATGCCTTTAGAAAAGTGCTTTAAGACAAATAAATGAAATCATAAATAAGAGAATCCGTTAATTAAAAATGTTGAAATGACAGCGAGTGCTTGCAAAATTGACAATCATTTCTTTTCAATGTACAAATAAAGGATTACTTTCGATTTGAAAACTGAAGTATTTAACTGACTAATGAACAAATAAATATTTTTTTGCATTTTACATTTACTTTATTTTTACTTCATAAACTAATAGAAAGAGAGAGAGAGAGAGAAAGAGAGAGAAAGAGAGAAAGAGAGAGAGATAAAGAGAGATAGATAGAGAGAGAGACAGACAGAGAGAGAGAGAGAGAGAGAGAGAGAGAGATTACTAGAGAGCACTATATAGTAAGATTGAAAAAATGTGGCCAGCCGACGATTCCTTGTTTCCCTAGGTTTAACAAAATTGAAGCGCGAAAAATGCTGCATTTTATTAAAACTTATTTCCAATAAAGGGAAATAAATTTCACATCGCTTCCAACCATCCGTTTATTTTCCGTATATCCGCCTCTTCGGCAGGTGTAAGATCGTTTTTAATTTTAAACATATCACGCATTTCTTCTGACGTCTTGCCTTTTAGCATATCGGCTGCCGTTTGGCAGGCAGCACGCAACAAACTCTCCATATTCAGATAGTTTGCACCACGTATCAATTGGAATAAATCGACTCGGTCTATGTCAAGAAAGTCAGCATCCCATGTCGAAATATCAATTTCGTTGTCTTCATCATCATCATCATCATTATTATCGCCATCATCATTATCGCCATTATCAGCGGTAGACTTATCATCCTTGTGATGAGCAGCCCATTCCAATATTTTTCGTAATATGGCCGAATTTACATTTGGCAAAGGCACAACAATATTATCACAGTCTTCCATACCACAATCTTCCAGCATGGCTTTAATAGTACCTGAACATTTTGCAACTTGTATGTCAACAATGAAAATTTCGTTATCGGACGATTGCAATTTAATGTTAGGCATTTTTTCCTGATGATTAAGTTCAAGGCGTTAAAAAAAAAAACATCTTCCGGACGATTTGAAATAATTTTATCATTTTTACATTAAAAATTTACCTTCTTTTTCTACAGGATCTTAAGGATTTTACGATCTTGTGATTACTTATCTCCTCTTTTACGTTCAACTATTATGTTTCAACTAAGTCGTTCTAGTCAAATTTTTTGCTTCTTATAACATTTGGAAACAAGGCGTGCATAACGCATTGCATTAACTCTAAAGTATTGAATTTTCCGTCAATTTTTCCTAATGTCCTCGTCAATCGACAGCTGCATTTGCTGACTTTGATCGATTTTAAGATATTCAGGCTATTATACACTGAATTAATTTTATTACTCATAATTTTCCTATTTTTCAATATTTTGGGAAATTTCTTTGTCGCACTAAATATTTTTCAATACCAAGTAATTTTATTAGTCAAATGACTTTTGTAACAATTTTTGCAATTTTGCTTAGCGTTTTTTCTCTTCGTTACATAAATGTTCATCACATATATTCTGGATGTAATAATTTTTTATAAGGTTCGTTTTAAAATGAATTTACGTTAAATTTTTATACCCTAAACCACTTGTGGTACAGGGTATGTTAAGTTGGGACGGGCGTATGTAAGTTAGGGCAGAACGTATACCTTTTACTATGCCGATCGATTCAGAATTATAATCTAATGTATTTTGACGCTCAAGGACGCTCAATGAATCCAAGCTATTGAAAATGTCTCGGATCGATCCACTTTTTCGACTACTTCCCATATAAAGCGCTATATTGAAAAGTCGATTCGGATCATCTCAGCCTATATATTTTTTTTTAATTCTACCCTAAAAAGGATTAGCGCGAAATTTGGTCCTTTGTAGAGCACAATAGTCCAAGTTTTACTATGTAGTAATCAAAATCGGCATTTACCACGTGGAAATTTAGTGTAGCGGAATTGAAACCTGGCCGTACCAGCTTGGCTGATAATAGACTTTCGTTCATTCCATATCGGCAAATGACGATAAACAATCGTCGAATTATGCTTAGAGGCATAGTAGAGGCTGTGATTAGTCTTTAAAAATCGTAAAGAAATGTTAATGAAATATTAGACTGAAGAAAACATATTTTATGCAATTTTTCACGGCGACTTCGCAAAAATGATTCGCTAAAAACTATTTGGAAATATGTCAAGTAATAGGTAAACCAAGTCAAGATAAATTATTCCTATGAGAGAAATTTTTTGATTATAAACAAGAAGAAAGACAATAGTGAATTGCGCCCCACCATAAAATATCTTAGACTACTTTCCAGTCATTCATATAAGAAATATTCAAAATAAAGCGTTGTACGAGAAGTGGTCAAAAATGTGGTCCGTTCACAACCATTTTCAATAGCGGTCATCTTCGGTTTAAACCACGTCAGTGTACAAACTTTCGTCAAAATATCTCAAAAAATTGCGTTGACACACACGAAAATAAAATGGAGAGACCGACAAGACAAGCCTCGATCGGGAATCATTTTCTAAATCAATCGGTACAACAAAGGGTGAGTAGATCTCAGCTCCTTCTTGATTTTGCATATATCCGCACAAACTTAATATACTCACTATACCCCAAGTGATGTAGGGTGTGAAAATTTCTTCATATTTCTTCTAAGAATTGTTGAGGCATTTGGCGAACACAAAAATGTAGAATTCTTCAGTGTCGAATAAATAATGATGAAATTATGATTCATCTTTTATTGTATTTTTGACTATTTTGGTTACATATATGCACTTACACGCTCACGCAAATAAAGGGAAACAAAGAGCAAGCAACAAATGACCAAAAGTCCCCAAGATTTTACTAATTTTTATTTTGAACAAAATGTAGGGATTTCTTGTCATTTATTTATCTCAGATTTTATGAGCACATTGTTAAGATTATTTAATTTTTATTATAGTTAGCATGATGAACTTCAAGAAATATGGTAAACATCGCGCATTCTATACTATATTCTATATTGTGTCCGTTACGTCCAGATGACGTAGAGAAAAGACACAAACAGAAAAAACATTCATTACACGAATTTGTCTTTGATGTTACTACGAAATGATCAACGCTTCAAGCTAATCGTCAGTACTCGCCGCGAACGATATTTCACGAGAACCTGATATAAACATTTCTTTACTGTATTTATACGAGACTGTTGCTTATAAAAAAGATGACGGTAAAGAAAATTGTTTATCGGAAATATGATGTAATTTTTAATTCTGAATCGATCTGAGGCATATTAATTCGCCGGAATTATGATTCGAAAATGAAATTCACAACTTTTAAAGTTTCAATGCGAAGTTATTTCATCTTCTTCTTCTTCTTCACAATATATAGAGTCTACGCTATCCAAAAAAAAAGAAAAAAATCCCAATTTACAAACATATGCAGTGTAATTGAGACAATTCATTGCTCTTTAGGCTTACTTGTATAACTTTTTTGTCATTTTCCGATTTGGCCGGCAGATGGTGAGGAGGGTTTTCCATAATTGTCATATATAAATAAATATGGAATTTGGACATTAACTAAACAAAAGTGGCTAAAGTGTTAATACTGGTAGCACTTTTTGTATTATTATTTTTTTTTATATTGCACATGAAACACCCTTCAATCTTTTAAATACCCTATTTCCCAACTAAGAATTCATTGAGCGTCCTGTTGATAGTAGAAGAGAACATAGCGTGAATTAACTTTTGTGATTAATACATGATAAACATGGATGTGCTGGTATTGACGGATACCGAGTCAGAAACAAGTGTGGAGCAACAGGTTGAAGCAAAGGATTGTTTAAAGGATAATATAGATGAAGATTCGAAGTACAAAGATGATGAAGTTCGTTTCCAAGCTGAGATACAACAATGGAAAGAGTTATATTTTGAGGCATACGAACACACGAAAAGATCGCAAAAAAGCAAACTAATAATAGATAGGAATATTTTATCTGCTGATCAACTGGCATATTTGCAAAATGCCCCTTCTCTGCAAGACTACGTCCGAGATGCCTTGGATTTCCGCAGAAAATTTTACTTGTTTAGGGAGACGAAATATGCCGAAATTAGGGATATACTGGACAATCTTAGAGATTTATGTGAACAACGGCTAAGTTTGATTATGGCCAATGAAATTTCCGATAATTTTGCCAATACTAAAAAAAAAAAAATAAGAAAAAGAAATTGTAAGCTGAAATAACGATTTACTAATGAGAAACCAAGATGATAAAAGAGAAAAAGAGGAGAATACAAAAAAAATAAAAATAAAATTATTAGGTAAAAAAGAAAAAAATTAAATAATTCAAAGTGATTATCATTTTATTTTTATTGCATAACGTGATTTTTAGTAAGTTTTCAATGAAATGAAAGAACGCTTTTTTTTTTTTTTTAACTTTTTTTTTGTGAAATTTCGGTTCGTTTTCATTTTCTTTCATTTCCCCGTACATATTAAGGCAAGCATGTAATCATCAGGATTCCTTAAATCACATTTCGCACGTCTCATCCTGATGAATGCTTACTTTCTGCACTCGGTAGCATTGCTGCCATTTCTTTATAGCTTTGCATTTGTGCAGCGATAGGTTGTTTTTTTGCTTTTACGTTTTTTGTTGTTGTTGTTGTTGTTGTTGTTTTTTTTGTTTGTTTTATTAACGTTGTAACACACTGCGCCAATGTCATTTTTGTGGCATTTCATGCATTTTTATGTGCTTCAATGTGCGGTGAGATGTTTTTCCTGCTCTTTTTATTCGAATGTCTCGCTTTGTTTGCTATTTTTGTTGCTGTTGTTGTTGTCAGATATTTAAAGATTTTTTTTTTCATCCAATTACCTTACCGCCCTTTAACACCCTTACTTTCTTTTCCTTTTTTTTCTTCTTTTCGAGTGTATATGGAATAATGATGTTGCTTTCCCATCCTCCTCCCCACCCCTCCCCCGCCGTCCTCTTCCCCTTTTACCTCACAGCACTTTTCTTTTTTGCTAATTCCACTGTTTTCAATGCGGTTTGTGTGTGCGTATGAAATGCTTAGAGTATGAGTTCGAGTTTGCATTCTGTGTCCTTTCTTTTTTCATCTTCTTCTTCTGCTTCTTCTTCTTTTTTCGGATTTATTCATTTCGCATTCATGATTCTATGAAAGACGCTTCCGCCTCATTTCGCAATGGCTGAGTGTTTTGTGGCATTGTGCAAATGAATAATTGCGGTTTGGCGTTTATTCTTTCTTCTTATGTTTCATTTACTTAATGCCTTTTACAGTATAGTCTTTTTTTTCTACAGCTGTTGTTGATGTTATTACAGTTGTTGCTCTTGCTGTTTCAATGACTGCCACCATTTATTCTTCTTTCTCTTTTTTTTTTTTTTTCTTTTTTTTGCTTTTTGTTACTTTTCTCCATTATTTTCATTTTGTTTGTGGCAGAAATTTTTTAAAGAATCTTTGTTTGCATTTTTTTTTTTTTTTTTTTTTTTGTTTGCATGTGGATGTGTATACGCATACATCTACATGTGCCTCTCTTTAGTTAATTTCGTTTCTCGCTATCTTCATGTATACATATAAATATATATATATATATGCATATATATAAATATATATATATATATGCATATATATAAATATATATATATA